ACCCCCTGTCGAGCCCACATCCTTTTGTTTGTGATAACCACCACCGTTAACCCATAGTCAAACACTCCCTACCCTGCTCGGCATACGTGTTGTACTTGTTGAACTTGTGCTAATTCTAAGTTTGGGGTAGTGCGCCTACAATAAGTAAGGCAAATGCGGAAAAAAAAAGAGAGAAATATGTATATCATAAGGGAAAAATGGGAAGACACCATCATTTCTTCATAAAAAAAAGAAGAAAGAAAGAATAAAAAAAGAGAGCACTTGCCTACGCGTCGATAAGTCGCAAATAAACGGCACGATGGAACCCCCGTGGTAGTAATGCAAGCACAGAGAAGAAATAACAACATCACAAATGTTGAGCCTACAAACCTGTTGTGTACCCGTTTCATTGTTTATCCCACAATACCTCAGCCCCGTTACAACCCTAAGACCTTAAAAGTGTGTGTAATCTGTCTGTGTGATGAAGGTGGAATTTATTCAAATTTAAGAGTTGGTATTGCATATGCTGAATTTTGAGTGAAAAAACACTTTAACCCAGAGAGAATTGGTGAGAAGTGTGAAAAGCTTGCAGGTAAAGAAGTACTTTGATATGGAAGTGCAGCGGACAGCTGGGTTCGGGAAACCGAACACTTGACAATAAGGTGAAAAGCAAGTTGTGAAAGATATTTGTTGTATTGTGGTAAGAAAAGAATTTCGGGGTGACCTTGTGTTGTCTCATGCATTGCTTGAGGACAAGAAACGAGTTAAGTTTGGGGTTGTGATCGGTCACCTGTTCTACTTGGTTTTTTTCATTTATTCGGCAAGAATTCCATCTAATCGGTAACATTGTGAGTTGTTTCTTTGTCATTTTCCTTTAATTGTTTATGTTTTCGCATTATGTTCATTTAAGTTATTGCAGTTTAAATTATGTAAAATAAATCTCTTTTGATGTCTTGGTCTGGTAGTGTTAGTGATTTTAGGTCCATGGAAGTAATCAGAGGAAGAAATGCAAAGTCGACTGAGTTCAGGAGGAACTTCTACAAAATCAGATGCCTGACACGGGTGCCCGTGTCACCTGACACGACCCGTGTCAGGATGGGAAGAGAAGTGCAAGAAAAGGAGCAACCAAGGGGCTGACACGGGTGCTCGTGTCAGCTAACACGGCCAGTGTCAGCATGCCTGAAGGTTGAAATTTGAAGATTCCTGTCTGAGGGCCAACACGGGTGCCCGTGTCAGCTGACACGGCCCGTGTTGGGTGGGGCGACCATATTCCTGATGTTTTTGAAGTTTGGCCAGTTTGACTGCATGAAAGGCAATTTGGACTTTGCACATGGAAAAGATTGATCTGATACTATTAAGACGTGATTTTTGTGAGAGAAAAGGAACTTTAGATCGTACGAAGAAAAGACAACTGAAATTGGGAAGCTCTGGAGAATTTGGAAGAGGAGGAGATTTTCATGATCGAAAGAAATTGAAGATCAACTTTATTCCTCAAGTCTTGTAATGTTTCTATTTTCTATGTTGTTTTTGTTGAATACTATGCATAACTAAACCCCCCATTGCTAAGGGGTGTCCCTGAATTATATTGTAATGAACCTCTGTTGCATTTCTTAATGAGATTTTGTTTCTTTCCTTAATATTTTTGTTATGCAAATCGTTTAAAATTTTAAAGATCGTACAAATTGGGAACGATTTACGATTAGGGGTTTGGCCTGAAAAACTGATCGATTATTTTGTATAACACATTACAGTAAATATTGCCTAGGAATAGGGATATCCTGTAATGATTGTAAGAAACTTTTGTCAGAACTATTGCTTAATGTCTTTCCTTGACTGCTAAGGAATTGGGGTCAAGGAAGAATATCAAAGGTTTTTCAGTTAAGGAATTTAAGAAAAACACTTTTAAGATTCAATAAAAATTAAGGTTTTGAGACATGTCTCATTGATATACTTCGGGGTTCGTACTAAGCAATTCATACACTTTCCCCTAGCATGTTTTCTCCTATTCGTTAAATTAATTTTATCATTCTGCTTTATCTTTTTAGAAAACCACCAAACAAAACCCCAAGGATATTTTGTTTAATTGAATTAATATTTGTACTTGAAAATTGCACGCAGTCCTCGAGAGATCGACTCTAGGAAAACCATAATTATTACTACATCGGTAAAAGTTAGTACATTTGCTAATTTACACGGTTACACACAAAGCCCCTAACCCAATATTCTTGGTTACACCAAACCTAATCGGACATTATCAATCCTAATTTAGATGGTCATCCAATCGAAAAATGATTATGAGTAGTTCAATTGTGTGTATGCATAGAAGAAGGGATGAAGATGAGGGGAAACTTCGTAATCTGGTTGCATTTAGGTTTTATTCACTAGGAAACCTTATCTAGAAGAAGATGCATGTATGAGTATATATAGGTATATGGATGAATGTGCAAAAGGAATGCAAAAAGTTAGAGCAAAACTGAAAATTTTGGATGAGAAAAACATATAGGCCGACCTATGAAAGCAATAGGTCGACCTATGCGTGTTGTTTAGGTCGGCCTGTGAAGGTCATAGGACAGCCTATCTGGCAGCCTGTGATGTAACCTATGGGCAGAACCTACAGACTTTAATATTGCTCCATAAGAGTCGACCTGAAAAATCCATGTGCCGACCTATACTGAAGTTGAGGCTCGTATAGGTCGGTCTGTTCTTGCATAAGTCGACCTGAACTTACTTGTATGCCTAAAAACATGTTTTTCAATGTAAATATAATGTTGAATCCTTTTCAAACTCATTTGAAGGCTTCCTAATGACAAGATACACATCTAGAATGAGAGGATACAGTCTAATATATATAACGCTGCACTATCCTAGTTTTGACATCACTTAAAATACAAAAGCACTCACATTTATGCTCGGAAGAACACTAATCTCATGGTGCTTGAAGAAGGAACCGATAGTTGCACACTCGTCTTATGAGGCCAAGTACATTGCCGCTTTGTTATGTGTGTGTTAAGTCGTGTGGCTAATGAATTTATTGAAGGAGCTAGCCAACAATAATGGTGATGCTGTTACACTTCTGGTTGATAACGTTTCTGCGACTAATCTTCCAAAGAACCCAATTGCACATGGAAGGAGCAAACACATTGAGATGAGATTTCACTACTTAAGGGAGCTTGTTAGTGAAGGAAAGTTAAGATTGAGATATTGTAGAAGTAAAGACCAAATGACAGATTTGTTGACTAAGGGAGTCACAAATGATGTGTTTAGAAGGTTGAAGATAAGCATAAGTATGGAAGACTTGGAGTACTTAAATTAAGGTAGCGTGTTAAGAGTTTTTGATAGCTCAAGTGCTACAACCGATTAACATGAATGAGTGTAACCGATTACAGCTGGGCGAAAATCACTTATAATCTAAAGAAACTAAAGATGCATCATTGACATAACTAGTTAACGTAACCGGTTACCACTGAATGGATGTATTTTTATAATAGCTGTAATCGATTATAGATTTAGTGTAACCGATTATAGGTCCGAGAATTCTATTTTTTCAATTATCTGACTTGTTGTTTTGTATCCTAATCACTTGTATTAATACCTTAAAATGTATCATTGTTATGGTTAATGAAAAGTAATAAAATATTCTCACCCTCAATTAATTTTTCTCTCTCAACTCCTCTTTTCCTCTCCACACTCTAATTTCTTCATTATTCATCAATCTTATGGTTCCAAGTTCAAATATCTATGAGTTTATCTCTCAATTAGTAACTATTATGCTCAACAATAAATATATACAAAATAGGTGTTGCGTTGTTTAAACATCAAAATACGAACACCGTCAATATTGAGAGCTAGTAATTGTTCTCTCGATTAACTTTTAAGTATGAAAATAAATATATACAAATTAAGAGTCGTGTTGATTAAACATGCAAATAAATATTGAGGATCCACTTACTCCAAGAGTAAGTTTTTATAACTTACCCCACAATCATAGTCGTTAAATTAAATTTAATCGAATGGTTATAAGTAAAAATGCTAATTTAACTACTAGATTAGATTCAATTTAAAAGTTATGATGTGAATTAAAAAAACTTATTCTTGGAGCAAGTTAATCCCCACTTATATATATATATATATATATATATATATATATATATATATATATATATATATATATATATATATATATATATATATATATATATATATATATATATATATATATATATATATATATATATATATATATATATATATATATATATATATATATATATATATATATATATATATATATATATATATATATATATATATATATATATATATATATATATATATAAATTTTTTCTTCTTTTATACCTTAGACACATTTGAAAAATATATAAAAAAAAACACAACAAAATTTTAATGTGTAGAATATGATTTCTCATAAATTAATTAAAATTGAGTTCTTTATACATCTTCAAAATAATAACAATAATAAAGAGTTAATTAGTATAATTAGTATGTGTATAAGAGAAGATTTTATAAAAAAAAAATAATATTTTAATAGAATTCGAGAATAATTTATATGAAGAGCCATTATATTCATTAATTTTAAATTGAACCGTGACAATTTATTACTACCTCCGTTTCTTTTTAAGTATCATTTTTATATTTTTTTTTAAGCATACTAAAAAATTAATAATAATAATTATTTTTTAAATAATAATCCTATTTTATTTATAACACATTTAATTATTTATTACATTCATATTTTATATAATAAATATTTAAGGATAATTTTAATAAAAATGCAATTATTACTGAATTGAATTTTGTAAGTCACAATTAAAAAAAATGAAAAATAATAAAAACATAACACTTAAAAAAATGCGAGCAAGTATTTCGAAATCCCTCTATTCTTATTTCTAACGGCTCTTTCCGTTTGTATCTATTTTTTTTTTCCTTCTCTCTTCTTTCTCTACAAATTCAACGCACTCTCTCCGTCGTCCAGTTCACTCTGAACGAAACCCATCCTTTCAATGGCGTCCACACAATCCGGCTTCACAGAAACCACTCCGGGTACGAAGGTTCGGGTAGTAGCAAAGATTCGTGGGTTTTCGGATACAGATACCAATTTCGAAACCTCCAAAACTGTGGAGTGGGTTTTGGTGAACACAAAAAATTCTGGAGAAGTTACCATCTCCTTTAAAGAACAATCTTCTAGGTATGATTACTTTCTTAATTATTCAGTTTTCAGCTTCATGATTAGTTAAATTGGATCCAAGAATCTGAAATTGAAATAATAATTTTAAAAAATGGGGACAATTTTGAGTTTCAGGTTTTGTGAGTTATGCACTTTCACCTGAGTGATATTTGAATTTTAGGGTTTTTGTATTGTTTGTTATAAGGTATGGACCTTGGTTAGTTTCTGAATTACGCAGTTTTAAGTTTAGTTAAGTTCCGTTGAAGAATGAGAAATAGTAATTGGAGAAAATTGAGAAATTGTAATTGGCAAAAGGTTTGTGGTCTTGATTCTGTGATACCGGAAGAATTATAATCTTTTATTTAAAATTTCATAATTCATAGCTGAATACTAACCACATTTGAGAAATTAGGGTAAATAGTGTGTTGTGCATTGAAATTAGGCTCTGTAAAATATCTGTTACATTTAGTTATTTGTTGGTTTAATCGGTAGAGTTAAACGATTCTCAGCTGTGTCTAGGATGAAAATCCCCTAGTAGAGTTTATATCTCTCAAATCCACTTCAAGCTTTTGCTCTTTTCTCTCTGTTGATGTATTTAGCTAACATATTTTTATCATGAAGTTTTAGTGCTTTTGGGTTTCAATTTCCTTTTATTTATTAAATAATCTCCAACAGTTTTGTTGTAGGGATACATTTCCTAGAAGCTTATAGTTTGTAGTTGTAGTAAAGCCATGGAGGAAATATATTGTTTTTTTTTAAACCTGTTGTTTTCAAATGGGGTGATTGCAATTACTTGATTTAATGTTAATCTTGCGGTGCAGTCAGTATTCAGTTGACCACTGCTACAACGAACGTGAAGATAATGAAGTTATCTATTCAAAGGAGTTGAAACATCTTGTTTCGGCTGCATTTGAAGGTATTAGTAGCACGGTTATTGCTCATGGAGCTAGAGGCAGTGGAAAAACTCGATTGATTCAGGTTTGAAATCAATTTTGTTTGTGAATAATATTTCTATGAAATTTTGTTTTTTTTTTAATAGTTACTTTGTTCTTGAAGGGCTCTTTGGAGAAATCGGGTTTGGCAATGCTGGCTATTTCGGAGTTTCTCTCGGTGACCGAGAAAAATGGAAAATCTATAGCAGTTTCTTTCTATGAGGTTGATCAAGACCATGCTAATGATTTATTAAACCCAGAACAATCACCAATTTTAGTGCTTGAAGATCACGGAAGAATTCAGTTTAAAGGACTTACTCAAGTAAAAATTATAGTACTTAATTTTCTGATTTTAAAAAGTTAAAATTTTACATTTGGACGGTAGACAAGTAATATTGTTGCATTTTTTCTTTCAGACTACCGTGAAATCCATTGCCGAATTTCGGAATTTATACATCACAGCATGTTCTGCACACACGGCTGCACCCAAAAAAGGATTTGAGCGTGCTCGTAGAAGCCACTTGGGATTAATTGTTCATGTCTTTGCACAAAATGAAAGTGTAAACAGTCTTGTGAGCAAAATGAATTTTGTTGATATGGCAGGTAACCATTGCTCAACATAAAAAGTCCCATAACCATTGTTTATTTTTCTAGCTTTTGTTGACATATCTTAAGATTTGACTAACAGTATAGCTCTTTTATTACCAGGTTATGAAGATGCTAGAAGGAAAATTGGTGATGCTTCTGTTGTTGCTGAGAATAACAAAATTAACAAGTCAATTTACGCCTTATTGAATGTTTGTCATGCTTTGAGCACAAATGAAAGTCGTGTCCCCTTTCGGGAAAGTAAACTCACACGCATGTTGCAGGACTCCTTGAGGGGAACTAGCAAAGTTGTGTTGGTTTCGTGCTTGGTATGTGACTGATTTTTTGTCAATTTTTTTTTTTCATTTTGTAATTTGTAATTAAATTTTAATGTTGGTCATTTTCTTTTGTATAATGTGAACTTAGAACCCATCATTTTGCCAAGACACTGTGTACATGCTTAGCTTAGCATCACGGTCATGTCAAAGGTCTCATCGAACACCCTTTGGTTCTATGAAAACTGCTAGTTCAACAAGACAGACAGTGAACTTCGATTCCACAAAGAAAATTGCAAGTTCAGTTACCTTAAATTCCTCAAAGAAAAGTGCAAGTTCAGTAAGACAGACAGTTACCTTAGATTCCACAAAGAAAAATGCGAGTTTAGTAAGACAGACAGTAACCTTAGATTCCATAAGGAAAAGTGCAAGTTCAGTAAGACAGACAAAAACCTTAGATTCAACAAGGAAAAGTGAAAATTCAGTAAGGCATACAAAAACATTAGATTCCACAAAGAAAAGTGCAAGTTCAGAAAGACAGACAGTGGCCTCAGTTTCCGCAAAGAAAAGTGCAAGTTCGGCGATGCAGTTCGTGACTATTCGTAAAAACAAGATACCCAAAAATGTTTCTGCATCAACAAAGGAATTACCAGGTTCCATATCTCATATATATGATGAAGAAACATGTGTTGTTGCTAAGAAATCTGAAATACAAGGAAGGTCTGTATTGAATTTTATATATATTTTATTCCGTTAAACTTAGCCTATGTTTGGATTCTAAAAAACCATGCTGTCAACTCACGTTTGCTAAAAGATACTACTTGTAGCTTCTCAAAAATCCTCAAAAATCATGGTGGAACGTGAGGTGGCAGTGACTCTCCTTGCTTCCAAACACAATTAATTGCTTTTGACTATTATCTGTTTATGGATATTGACTTTTTTTTTTCCTTTGGATTGAAGGAAATTGTTTGATGAAGTCAGCCACTCTGCTGCTAAAGCCAAGAAGGTATACTTTACTTATTCTTTTCTCTAAATACTTATACACAACATTTTTGCATGTCTATTTTAAAGAGAACTATATGACATAATTTGATTCAAGTTACGGAAGCATTAGAGCCTTTCTTGGTAATGCCTCATTTATATTTTAGTTTCTTATGTTGTGAATGAAAAACAAATTGCAACGCTCAATATATTAACTGGTGTATCAAATCCAATGTAAGACAGTTTAATATCAAAAGATGGAAGTTATGTCCGAGAAAATTCTAGAGTAGATAAGTTAAATAATCACCTAAAATCCTAACATGAAGAAAACTTAGACGCAATTGTTCTCAAATCATTTGTGACATGGACAACAGTGAGGTGTCATCTTGTTATTAATGAATAGATTTTTATTTTTGCCGGAAATTTCCATTGCCAATGTAACCAACACATCACAGCCTTTACTACCATGTATATTTTATCATTAAATTTTTTGGATTATGTTGTTTATGGAAAACAAATTAGAAAGCTCAATACATCAATTGGTGTATCAAATGCAGGACAATTCATTATCAGAAGATGGATATCATCACGTTCAACTAAACTCCAAAGTTGAAAAGGTAATAATAAGTAACAAAAAATTCCAATATGAACACAACTTAGAAAATAAATCTTTATTTTGTTTGTTTTATGCTGTACAACTCACATGCAGATGCCAGTAATAATGTCAAACTCAATATGATGATACAGAATGTAATGGATCTTATAGAATATAAGTTAAAACACGTTGCTTGTTCGGTCAGGAAACTAATAAGTATCTGCTGCAGGTTGAATCATCTTTGAACACTAGAAGTGAAGTGGAACTTGATCCCATAGTGGAAAAGGTAATTTTTTTTCTTCTGTTAATTCCGTCAGTTTTCACTTTTGATCTTTTCATTTTATTATTCTATGATATTTTTTTCTAACAAAACTTTATCATGTTCAACACCAGAGTTAGTAAATGTGAAATACTAACTATTTTTATTGTGTCACTAGGTTACTTCTTTTGAGGATAAAGAGGATATGCATGTCCCTTATATCATTAATTACTCCAAAGATTTGTCAATAGCTAACGAAGGTAGATGTGATTAAATGAATTGTTGATATATAAATAGTTTTACAAATCACAGGTTGCATATTTATTTATATAGATGTCTTTTGTCATTCCAGGTCTTAACATGAACAAAGAGAACAACAACTTAATGGAAAATGAAGATTGTTCTCCACCAATTAGTTCTCAATTGCGTGAACTTCAATCTCTCGTTTCATCAACTCCATTATGCATGCAGTTACCAGAGGAGAAATTCATTTCACTTGATGATGATCAGATTTCTACTAAAACTGCAGAACCAAGAACTCCTGATACCGAAAACCTAGATGTAATGAATACTAAAAGTTTTTGGGAAACATTCAACATGCATCGTTCTGGAATGGTTTGATCTATTCATAATATTACTTATGTACCTTCTTCTAATGTTTATTTTCATTTTTTTAACTCAGAATTTTTTTAATTGCAGAATTATACTGAAGTTACAAAACCAAGAACTCTTGATATTGAAATACGAGATGTAATGAATGCCAAAAGTCCTTGGGAAACATTCAAAATGCATGGTTTTGGAATTGGAACGAAGGTTAGATCTATTCATAAATATTATTTAAGTACCTTCTAATATTTATTTTCATTTTTTTATCTAGGAATTTTGTTTAATTGCAGAATTCTACTGAAGTTACTGAACCAAGAACTCTTGATATTGAAATACGAGATGTAATGAATGCCAAAAGTTCTTGGGAAACATTCAACATGCATGGTTCTGGAACAAAGGTTTGATTGATCTATTCATAAATATTACTTATAGACCTTCTTCTATGTTTATTTTCATTGTTTTAATTCAGAATTTTGTTTAATTGCAGAATTCTACTGAAGTTACAGAACCAAGAACTCCAGATATTGACATACGAGATGTAATGAATACCAAAAGTCCTTGGGAAACATTTAACTTGCATGGTTCTGGAATGAAGGTTTGATCTATTCATAAATATTATTAATGGACCTTCTATTAAAGTTTTTTTTTATTGTTTTTAACTCATAATTTTGTTTAATTGCAGAATTCTCTTGTTAAAGACTACCTTATGATTTTAAACACAGCGGAAAAGTAAGTCGACATTTTGAGTAAACACATGCTCAATATTTGATTAGAAATGTATATATCCTTTCTCTTATATTCATATAGGATAAACATCTATGTAGAACTATTTCTGTAGCGAAAGATAAAAATAGACTTAAATTGTTTCTGTATGTACAAACTATTTTCATATGCCGTTTTTATAATTCAATCCTAATATATATAGTCTAACTTGTTTACTTTTTGTTTTCTTCTATATTAAAATTGTAGGGATGAGTTAAAGAAGTTAAAGGTTAGAAATGTGTTTCACCTTTTAATAACTTTTTTCCCCTATATATCTTGTACTTTAATTGACCTGGTCTTTTTCTTAAAGGGAATTGGAGAGAAGAGAGCAAACTATATACTTGAGCTTCGCGAAGAATCTCCAGAACCTTTCAAGAGTGTATGTGTCATAATATAAGTTTTCTTGTTATAGATTATTATAGTTTTTTTTTATGATAATAATTAGTTACATCTTCTATTTATATCTTTGACCTGATTTTGGTGTTGTGAACCAATTTTTCATGAATAGCTCGATGATTTGAAAGATATTGGACTTTCCGAGAAACAGGTATCATTATTTTTCTCATAGTATTATCATATTCTTTTTAAATTTGCATGTTTGATTGTTGATGACTATTTAACTTGTTATCATTACTTTTCTTGTAGTATTATCATATTCTTCTCATAGTATTATCATTATTCTTTTTAAATTTGCATGTTTGATTGTTGATGACTATTTAACTTGTTATCATTATTTTTCTTGTAGTATTATCATATTCTTTTAGTGTTATACATAACTAACAATCTAATAAATTCTTCTCATAAGTAACTGATTTTTTTTTAATACTTATGCAGATTAGAGGAATGATGAAGAAGGAAGTTGGAGAGCTTTTCAATTATTAGTTATAATAACATCATTGATTCCTTGTATTAAAATGAAATTTATTCTGGCAACCTAAAGTTGCCTTTGAGTTGTGTGGCATTCACGTATGTATAAATAATTCTTTCATTATATAGGATGAAATTAAATATTAGAATTGCCTTTGAGTTGTGTGACATTCACGTATGTATAAATAATTCTTTCATTATATAGGATGAAATTATATATTAGAATATGGACGCAAAATGAGAAAAAAATAAGAGTCAATTAATTGTACGCTAGAATTCTTAAACTTGTTTTATTGCCTCAAATTTGTCTCTATTTGAAAAATAGTTTGTCAAATTAGTTTTTTTTGTTGAGATATTTGTACAATTAGTTTTTATTTTTTATTATTTTTTATTTTTGAATAAGTTAGTGATTCTCTTAAATATTATATTTAATTTTAGTCTTTTTAAAATGAGAAAAAAATAAGAGTCAATTATTTGTACGCGAGAATTCTTAAACTTGTTTTATCACCTCAAATTTGTCTCTATTTGAAAAATAGTTTGTCAAATTATTATTTTTTTGTTGAGAGATTCGCACAATTAGTTTTAGTCTTTTAGTTTTTCAAATAGTTTATTAAATAAGTTAATGATTCTCTTAAATATTATAATATTTATTTTTAGGCTTTTAAAATATTTCATTTAAGCAATGTCTCTCCCAAAGTTTTTTATTAAAAGTCTTGACAGAAGTTAACTGTTGTCAACAAAAGTTAATTTGGAGGGACATTTTATTTTTTTTAGACATCACGTAAAAATATTAAAATGTTTTTAAATTTTAGAGATACATCTTCAAACGTATTCAATTATGATTTAATGTTAGAATATTTTGAAGATGCATCTTCAAATTTATTTCAGAGATGCATTTTCGAAAGGTATTTGAGCTTAAATCATGCCAGAACCCTCCTTACTCATTTCTAAAAAAACTCTAAAGTTTATCAAACTCTCAAAAAAAATTCTATCAACCAAGTTCAAAAATCAAACAATCAAACTCAAAGGATCTTCAATCAACATCAAGGACATCATAGGAGACATCATCCAACACTGAAATAAAGTCCAAATTAATAAGTTTTCGATGTTTTTGACAAGTTTTGAGTTTTTATGTAAATGAGTAGAAAATGATGATTTAGGTAAGAAATGAGTAGGAAATGCAAGAATGTTAGTTTATACATCCGGTAAAACATATTTGTTTGTTGAAAATCACAATCAAACCATTTATTTTGAGGTTTGCATGTCTGCATTGCCGCCATTGATGACCTAAAGAGTTACAGAAAATTCTGGATATGCTTCTCCGAAATTTTTTCAACGTTTGGATTCATATTAATAGGAGATGCATCTCCATAAATTATCAGTCTATTTTTGTTTTTAATTTTCTTCATTGTAATGTTGCTTGTACTAATTTTCTGGTTTAATTACAAACATTATGGCTGATAGACATGATAGACTAAAGCACAGAAGAATTGCACAACATGCATTAGTGCGGCAGAAGAAGAGTCGGGTTTCAGAGGCTCCTGTGCAATCTGGCCACGCAGCGAGATCTACTTTTGAGGCTTATGCTTCTCCATTTTCTTCTTCCCTAAGGAGACGAGTTCCACCTACCGACACAAGAGTCCTTCCATCCCCCGCAGGTGACAGGTTTCACCTATTTAGATGCTAGAAGTACCCGAGTCACCAGTGGTACCAGAGGCACCAAAGCCACCTTCAATGAATGATACTACTGAAACAGTGCCACCTTCGGTTGCTGATGTTGGTGAGTCGGTGCCACCTCCGAATGGTGAGGTTGTTGAGGATGATGAGGCAGAGCCATCTCAGGCATTTGGAGGAGGTCGTATGGAGTTGTCACTATTGTCTCTGTACCCATACCATACTACTAGACATATCTGGGACGGAGAGGTAACATTAGTTGGATTCATTCTTTTTAATTCACATTTATCGATATATTACAAGTTTATGATATTTGATTTATTTTTCTACAGGTTTGTGATTCGCTGAAGATTATTAACTATGGGTGGAAGATTACTAGCTTGCCTCAACCGAATGAGGAGTGGTTTCTGGAAGCTTTGTCCCTATTTTGGATGAAGGACTTGTGCATGACCAGTTATATTACGTTTAACCACGAGATGCTTAATACATTCTTTGAGAGATGGCACACCGAGACCTCGTCATTTCATCTTCTGCTTGGTGAAATGTCTATCATATCCGATGACGTGTCGTCTTTGCTACATCTTTCGATCAGGGGGAAAATTTTAGATCGTGGAAGGATTAGCAAAGACAAGGCACTCGAGTTGATGGTAGACTATCTAGTTGACCCAAAGGCTACAATGTCAAAGATGAAGAGAACTAGATGGGCTCCTTATAGCACAACAGGCTAAAGGTGATGACGAATATGTAGGGCTCCATAGAGCGTATGCTATGAGAGCATACCTATTATATTTGGTTGGAACCGCGATTTTTATGGACAAGAGTGCCCCTTATATAGATCTCGTCTACATACGGTATTTCGAGGAATTCGAGCGGATCCATGAGTACAAATGGGGGGCCGCGTGTTTGGTTTACTTATACTCGAAGTTATCAAAGGGCTGTAGGTGGAAGACAAAGTAGGTCACAAGCAACATCACACTACTAATAGTAATATATATTAGTCTTTTAATGTTTTTGTGTCATTTTTAATTCATCTTTGAAACACCATTACTTATGATTCGTGTGTTCCAAAGTTTTCAGGCTTGGATCGTCCAACACTTCCCGCACATCTTTGGTTGGGCACGTAACACTGAGAATATTCTGTGCACTATTGCATTTTCCCATCTCAGAGGGAACCAGGTGATAGATTCGTTCAGAGTGTATCTTGACCGCTTGGTTGCCGAGGACATATACTTCAACATCTATGTCGATCACCATGAGACCATTTGATTACATAGTGCTATACTCGGGATGGTTGGATTACGAATCACGTCTCACTTCTCCTCGTCTATTCGAGCATATGATGCGATAGTTTGGTTACACTCAGGCCATTCCCAAACCCCTTATTGTCTCTGCTCCTCCTGCTTTGATACATAGACAGATGAATGACATGTTGGATGGTTATGAGAGTCATCTGGTACCGGAGGAGCCACAGAGTACCATAGTTAAGAATGATTGGAGCTATGTAGATGGGTACACCAGATGGTGCTTTAGGGTGTCACATCCGTATATGGTGCAGGATGCTCTAGGAGATCCATTGAGGCCAGCTTTTCAAGAGATACTAGAGAAGGAGTAAACACAATTATATCATGTTGAGGATGTCTTGCCTAGATGTCGTTGCATAGTGGAGATTGTGTAGGCAGACATTGACAAAGGTATCTCCCCTTATGGGTCTGATGTGAGGCAGGTCCTATATGCCATCATGATGGAAGCACGAGAGGCGTTGATGTACCGGAGGCAGCGCTAGATGACCTGTATTGAAGGCAGAAGATCTAGAGAAGATGTAGTCGGACATATGTTACACCTTAAACCCCATACCTAATTATCGAAGAATTTAATTAACAAAATAGAGCCACTTAGGGTGTCACACACAACAAATATGACATTCTCCATAACACGAGTTACAACCAAAAAACTTAATGCATACATTTGCACTTAGGATGTTTACACGACATCAATTAATATGATTTGTACTTGGGATGTTTACACGACATCCAACTAATCTGGCATCATCGCAACATAATCATAAATGAAAAAAATTAAAAACCATATAACACTCATAACATTTACTCTCATAAACTTCAACTTTCATAACATAAGCAAAGAAAATCGTATTATCCAACTTTCAACACTTTGAGATCTCAACAAAATATGATTAGTAAACTTCAATAACACAAAGCCAAGCAAATGAAAACAAATGTTCCCATCCCGATGATACATGATCAGAGCAAGACCATACTAATAAAACAACAAATGAATGGAGGTCACTCTAAATTCTATCTTCAACTTACTTCAGCCAATGCTACTCCTGAGTATCTGCATGATATCCATGTAAAGGAAACATTCAAACAGAAGAGGTGGGAATACACTTCAATAATTAATGATGAAAATAGGCGGGAGTAAATTATTACATAGCAACAACATACACATTACTCAATCAACACCAGCATATTAAGTATTCTCATCCAACAACACATCAACAACAATCAATACAATACAACACTTGTGCAATGTACTCAACATCGACTCAACATGCATTTGGTACCAAATATAAGCACTCATGTTCATTTTGCTCCTGATCCCCACCATAGAATCAAATTCCCTCTTGGAACTGGAGCACACTAAATTGCTACCATCACCATAGGTAACACTTCACTAATCCTCCAAAATAAGAATTATCTACTAGAATCTGATCCATCACCATAAGATCGAGACTCACAAAAAATCACCGAAGTTTCGACAACATGAATGCATGAACTCTCATCATGCAACAATAACATATACACACTGGCCTCTTTCTGACCATGTAAGCCACCAACAACATAATCCATATAAACAACAACATTCATATACATAAAAACAAGCAACATCATTCACACAACACCACAACCATAATGGATCAATCACCATTTGTACTATATTTTCATCACTTACTCGACAAGAATTCAGATACTCCGTGGCACTTTGCACTTATTTGTTATCATTTGAGTCAATTTTATTTACCATAAATTTTCTACTCGTTTTATTGTTTTAAGCATTATTTTAAGTTTTCTGCATTTTATGCTTTGGTTGTCTGCTTTTGATTTTCTTCAGGACCAAGTAATAGATCCAAAAGACTTGGTGCGAGAAAGTGAAAAAATTTGGAGTTTCGGTGGAAGTTGGCTCAACCTACAGGAGGCCTGCTACGGCCACCCGTGTCACCTAACATGGGCCGTAGTAGGATGGAAGCTGAAACAAGTTAGCAAGAAAAGCTAAGAGGCGTTAGAGTAGCATGGGCACCCGTAGAGCCTGACACGGGCCATGTT